TGTCTCTAATCAGCTTCACAACCTTCAATGACAATTGCAAAAGCACTGGGATCTGTGCACAAACCGCCACTGAGTGAGGAGTTAATGAATCCTTGTATCAAATCACTGAGTTTCCATGCTGCCCGAATGGAGCCAGGGATCTAAAATCCATCATCTTTAGCCACAGGACATCAGTGTGCTATTTCCCGCACCGTTGCATTCAGCTACGCACATTCATTCAAACACCTGGTACAGGCACTGGCAACAAAGCAGAGACTGGAGCACAAAAGGTCACTGAGATAACTTCACAGGGCATTGTGCCAAATGGTGCCAGCCACAAACAGGCACGCTGGGGTGAGAAGCTTCTTAGTGTTCATAGGTTAAGTCTCACCTCATGACCTCCTACCACAGAGACTCCTTCTCCGGAGCAAGTAGATAAAAATAAATGGGTCATTCCTATGCACAATGTGAATTAGTTAAAATAGATTAAAAATGGATTATTTATCACCCTTTAAAAACAAAAACAGAAGTAGCAATAACATGCTTTAAAGTTGGCTTGAAAACTGGAAGTCCATTTGCTTTCTTCAAATTAGTTTTCATTTACTAATTCCTCTGCGCTCTAGGGAACAATAAATGCAGCACGCACAAACACATGGGACTTTGCAGTCCCAAAGAGTTTAGAAAAGGACAGGAAAAGACTGAGGGCATTTTGGGACAGGATCATTGAGTATTTAAATAGAATGCTTTCATTAAAAACAAAATAAAAAATTTAAGATATTTTGCAATTTTACACCAGCTGGCAAAACAGCCAGTGACGTGCATATCTCAGATTTGAGACTCAATCAGATATAGCCTCTATCAGGCAAAATAACAACGCTGAATTCACATATATTCGCTATGGGATTTTTTATTCTATAAACCTGACATAATTGGCACATAGCTATATTATGCTCCATTTTTTGTACGGCTGATCTGCATATAGTACCCTACAATACATCAACTATTTTCAAAGTACTTGGTAAGGAACAGAGGCCCTCTTCCAGGTGAAGACCATGCATGACAGGTTGACTCTGGCCAGTAACAAGGCACACCCACACAGATGCTCATTTACTCCTCCCCAGTGAGACTGGAGAGGAAACTGGAAGGGCAAAAGTATGAAAACTTGTGGGTGGAGATAAATACAGTTTAATTAATAAGTGAAGCAAAGCCATATTACTTTCCATTTGCAGGCAGGTGTTGAGTCACTTCCTGATAAGCAGGGCGTCAACACATGTAACTTACTTGGAAAGACATAGGCCATAAACCACCAGCATCCCATCTTATTCTTCCTTTCCCTGCATTTTTTTGCTGGGCGCATCATCTTATGGTATGGAATGTTACTTTCATCAGTTTGGGTTAGTTGTCCCAGCCGTGTTCCCTTCCAAATTCTGGTGCACTGCCAGCATACTCAACGACTTCTGAATTTATTGAGGTTTGTCTTTTAACTTTCAAATGAGTCATTAGGGTAATTTTACCATCTCCAGTCAAATATCTTCAATAATAAATCACGTGCAACAGACACATTGTGATAGACACAAAAAAAGCCCCAATATACACAAAGCACTAAGAAGTTAATCCCTTCAGCACACATCACACCTTGTTAAAGAGAGACAGCAAATGCATTTGCATCTCTCAGTGAAATGCCTGTTATGCCTTTGGAGAGGGTATTTGTGAAGGAATATCTTTGCTATCCATACCACCAATACATCTGGTCATCTGCTCAGTTTCATAGTTTTCAGTTCTTGAATTACATCTTAATCCTAATTTTTTCAGCTTCTTCCCTTTGTCCTGGGAATTCAGAATTCTGGGCAGCCTTTTGTCCTCTTGTGAACAAGTTAAAGTAATCTAAAAATTAACCAACCATTAACTAGAAACTACTTTCTCTCTAATGGAAAGAAGTAACTGATTGTATGCAAGATGTTAATCTGCCTCAATGTTGATTAACACAGACACACATAAGTCATATCCTTGCAATCAACATAAAGAAATGGAGTGCCATTAAGATGCAAGCCTCAACTGAAGATGACTGCTATCCTAAGCAAAAAGGAAGATATGAATTACAACTTGCATTCAATAACATAAATAATTACAGAAAGTAGGTAAACACTTGTGATGTGCTCTGTAAGATCCTCAGAACCTGTTTGCCATGCTATAGCTCAAAGGTTGTTAGAGTCTCCTAAGTTATCTATTTTTGCTAGAGGACAGTATTGCCACCCAATTCTTGTGGTGCCAGCACTCTATTTGGCCTACACAGCTAAGTAGAAACCTACTCCATTGCTGACAGGGAAAGCAGGATACTTTTTAAGGTACTGCAGTGTATGTATGTATGTGCCACATCTTAAATGAGGACTATCTTGCCAATCCCAATTACCTTAAATAGCATGCAACCTCAATTAGGTTAAAGGCATTAACTATTTTTTCATAACTTTCAGAATTAACAAATCACAGCTACAATTGTTAAAAAAGAAATAGAGACTCCACTGGATCTTCATATACTAACATTAAATCACAACAATTCTTCCCCCCCTCCATTCAGCTTGTTTTCCATCTTGCCTAGAAGGTTAGCAGTCATGGTTTCAAGCCTTCAAGCTTGAAAATCCCCAGGTGGCATCTATTAAAGAGAGCATATTCAGAAGTCTCTGCCAGAGAACTTATTCCTAACAGAAAGCTACATTCCTACAGCTTTTATATGTTTATAATCACAGGAGACCTCCATAGTACTCCCTCAGGTTGGTTGCTAGATTTGTCTTGGTAAAAAAAGTCTTTAGGCAGTTTGTTCTTTTAGAACTTCTAAGAATTCAGACAATATAATCTTTTGCTTGAAAACTCATCCTAATTCTCTCTCCTTACCACTAGGCAGTCTAGTCACTCTCATTCATTAATATTTCACTTCCTCAGCTAAATGTGTTATCCAAGATGTTTTCTTTTATATCCAGATTGTCAGTAAATCATTTCTAGCTCCAACAAAAAAGCCTTTTCATATTTCACCTTTTCCTGATCCAATGATTGCTTCAGTATAGAACATCTTTCACTGAATATATGTTTTATACCAATCCGTAGGGGCTTATAATTTGTATAAACAAATTAGGAGAAATGTACACAGTTCTTTGCTGTTTCATGAATGAAATGAGGCATGATGGGCACTAAACACTTCGGAACTGATAACTGTTTACAGGATGCTTAACCACTTCTTGTATACTCCAAGAACTGTATCAAACTCAAAGACTTAACTCTACATCGCTTTAAAGCCTGGAAAGGCAAGAATAACAGCACTAGTCTGAAGAGACATCAATGTACACAAAGATACGATGGAGTAAAATTATTTATAATCGCAAAAAATTAAACTTGAACAAACTAAGAGTTCTATACAGGAAAAAAAAGGCATCTAACATGGTAAAGCACACACTTTAATGGAAAACCATAACAGTAGTAAGGGCAGCTATAAAAAAAAAAAAGAAAAACACAAGACAGGAGACTCAGGCAGATCACCTACTTTTTTTCGTGGTCTATAGCCTTTGCAAAATAAAGCAGGCAAACCCTAAGGAAACCCTCTTATTTCTACTTTCTTAGGTATAAAAGTGTAACTATTAATACCCAGTTCGAATTTGGCCTAAGAAAGGCTGAAATATTTTGCATCAAATAGATTTTGGTTACAGAAAAGTAAAACATAAAATGCTATTAAGAATCAGAATGGTCTACATCAAATTCTGTAGCTTTCAGTGGCAGCCTGGTGCTATGTGATGTATCTCCACTAGCCTGGGTCTACTGAAATAAAACTCCTCACAAAATCACAAACATTTTTGCCCAAACCTCGAGTTTACTTCTTACAAGGAGTTCAGAATCTGGCCCAGTCTCACACCACCATTCTGAGGCTAGATGGCAGTTTATCATACAGAACAAAATGAAAGAATGCAGACTAAACCAGCCTCACATATGAATAGGTGTTCTCTCTCCATAGTCATCACAAGAACGATACCCATCATCACCTGCAGCTGTCTTCCTTTGCTCATTTGATGTCCATGCTTGCATGTTGTAAAGCACAAAAAACCACTTGTGGTAGGGTAGGCTGAATGAACATATAGAAACTTTCAACCACAACTCAGATATACAGTCTTTTAAGTATCCATTGTGGAAGACAATTTCCTGACCCAGGTTTGGACTTGGTACTTTGAATGAATTGTAAAGAAAACAAAAGAAAAATATCATAAGGAGAGAGCTGATGGTCTAGAAACACTGTCAGTCCATGTGGTACAATCTAATCACACAAACACATCATGTTCCATACGCAACATCGATCTAGATGGTATGCTATCCATTTTTGCAGGGCAAAACGTCACGTAAAGTAACAACTTTCTAAAGTTTCCAGTTCTAGTGTTCTCATTTTCTCAAATAATTCAACTCTCCCCAAAGCCACCTTCACTCAATCTCTCACAAGAAAGTCTACTTTTTTTTACAAAGCCATGTTGCACTAACATCAAATTCTTATTCTTTTGAACTATCCTATTAAAGCAAGCATCAACTATATCAGCTTGAGGATCTGTTCAGTTCTCACTTAACTTTCTTAGTGTGGAAAAAACCAACACCCTATTTATTCTTTGCCTTCCAAGAATAGTAATACTTCACCATAAATTCAGCTGCATTCAGGACTGTGCATATGCCACAGTAGATTAACACTGATGTAAAACATTTTTTCAATTTTTATATAAATCTTACTGCTATTGAATCACATAAGGCTTTTGAGTTTTGTTTTGTTTGTGTCTTCCCTCCCCAGTTTCTTCTGGTATCACGATTTGGTTCCCTGTGCCTCTCAGTTCGTAATTCTACAAAACCCTAAAGAACTACTAAAGGCAGTTTAATTTGACAAGTGTTGAAGACATAGAAAGAACAGAATATGATACATGTTATTTTAGAGTAACAGTTTTCTTCAAATTCAGGTAACAGAAACCCAGGTCTGGCATAGACATGGGCCCATCTATACTCACTATGTGCAGCTGCAGAAAATCACCAAGCCCAGGGGCACTGTCAATCCGAACAAGGATGCCATCCTTCACTGTTGTGCTGAAGCCCACAGCAAGACGGTCTGTCCTCGTGCTTGGTCGGTCATTAGCTGGCCAGGTGTACAGGATGAGACCTCCACTCTTCCCAAATATATATGTGGCACCAGCTAAAAAATACAAAATCAAAGAAAAATGTATTAGTTACTTATTTGCCAACTCTGGTGGTAATGCTTTGATTTCCAAGAGGAACAATTAAAGCAAGCATATGCCTTCATTAGTTACATGGGTGAAATTCATGCCTCCTGCTGGCAGGCCAGATGAAGTACATTATTAGTTCCCAGATAAAGACAAGCAGCATTTAAGATAAAGATAAGACTTTATAAAAACTTATCAAGATGGCTTATCAAGAATAAATGATTTCATTAGTGCTAATACCCCAGACAGTGCTGGATAGGACACTGCCTTTCTGGGGGTGGAAAACAAGAAGCCCCTTCTGTTTCAAATGCATAGGATTCAATCTTATAAGGGAATTTAAAGGAAATATTGGCAGTTCTCCTTGAGGTTGGATGTGCCTTCAGCTGAAGACTATTCACAGCATAGTAGAAGCCTATCCTTTTCTCAACACTTCCTAAGATTTTTTGATATTTAATCCACAGATTTCCAGCACCGTTTGTCTTTACAGTAAGCCTGGGAATTTGTTCCTTGCCCTTGTTTTTAAGGACAACACCAAGATGAACACTGTCCTCCCACATTCATGAGGGCCATCTGAGCTGAGGAAGACAGACACGGAAGTGAGGAATTGTTGTCGCAGACAAGGAAGCTGAGAAGCAAAAGCATTCTGGAGTTCACATTCTGACTTGTACTCAACACTCCAAGTTAGGAGCAAGATTTTATAACTCAGCAGTTATAAAATCAGCCCCTGAACTTCTTGGAAAATATATCTGAAATTCCTGTCCTAGACCCAAATCTACAGGCATACCAGGAAAAACACTTCTCAATGCTTCAGCCACTTACTGAACCTCATTTTCTGAGCCCTATTACAATGGTTACATAACAGTAAGCAAAAATAACCAGCTTCCATTACTGAAACAAGGATGAAATATCTGTAGAAAGCACAAGCAATTACTGGGTACACTTTCTAACCTGAGTGAAAATACAACTGATGATTTTTTTTCCCACCATACCAACCAGAAACATGTATCAAGCAATCATGAGCAGAGTAAATGTAGTTAGATAAAGAAATAGGAATCATATATGGGTAACTTCTACACTTGGCTACAAAGCTGCAGCTTCACTAAAGCTCTTTATGATCTGAATTCCAAATAAATGCTACACATTAGTAGAAATAATTGATACGCTTCCCCCTTGCTAAAGAGGCTTCCTCTGGACATCTCAGAACACATTACCAAAACAGACATCAAAAACTCAGCCACACAGGAATGAAATTATTTGTTAACAGCTGACTCAATGACAGAATGAAAATTAATCATGTTTCCTTCCTTCCAGGCCTGTGCATATCCAATAGAACATGCCTTCAGAAAACTCAGACAAATGTGTCTGAAAACAGGGTTAGATAGGAAATTTCACTCATAATCCAGAATTAACAAAAGAGCATACTGGCATTCGGGAACTGTGCACATATTTCAGTTTCAGAAAGACTAATTTTACAGACTGAATTCAATCTCCCAGTTGACCTTTGAACTCCAGATATAGGGTGCATGACTACTGCAAGATGTATAGAAAGGGGGTTTGTTTGTTTGTTTAAAAAAATCCCCAACTATATCCGTAACCTTATGGGTAGACAGTTGGAGATGACCAGGTAGTGAATTATCTATGTCTTCCCCTCACACACAGGTATACCAACAGCCCCCTAAAACTATGCTACAAATATTCTCCCTCAGTTTATCAATTTGTTTATAACTTCCATGTGTATTTGCATTACAGACCAAAACTAGGCACAGAAAAGTGTTAAGCAAAACAAGATTTACTTGTTACTTCACAGATTAAACCCCACTTTTCAAAATTACTGTCACTTGAACTGCAAGTTATCCTCCTTTTCTTTGTACAGGTTATCAGGCCCTTCAGCAGCAAAAAAAAGCTTGGTGGAGAGTTCTTCACTATTTAGGAAGACCATTTAATTCTTTGTCTCTCTAAGAGCCATTTGGCTGCAGGTAGACTATGTCAGTCCTCCAATGAGAGCCAATTAGAACCAATCATGTCCTCATAGGCCTTTTATGAAACTTAAACAGGTCTTATTTTCTCCTCACAGAGAACAGATTTTTGCTTCTAAGCCTAACTCAGTACTTTGGTACTAACGTACCAAAGGTTCCTAAGGTAAGAGCAGTATAACACAGTATAAACCTACCTCTCTTGGGTCTTATTTCAGTTTTCTGTGAGATGGCCCTATATACTGCTTCTTGAAGATATATAATGTTCTGGTTCAACTGGGAATGTCAACTCATCTCTGGACTTCTGTTGACCCAAAGACTGTCCAACTTTACTTTTCACTGTGATGAATTTTGCAGTCATACATTGTGGCAAGGCAGCGAGTTCTTGCAACAAAGATAATTCAGATCACAGAATCAACCAGGTTGGAAAAGACCTCCAAGATCATCAAGTCCAATCCTTGATCCAACACCACTGTGGTTACTAGATCATGGCACTAAGTGCCACATCCAGCCTCATCTTAAAAACCTCCAGGGATGGTGAATCCACCACCTCTCTGGGCAGCCCATTCCAATATCTGATCACTCTCTCTGTAAAAAATTTCTTCCTAATATCCAACCATGCAACAACCAGAGCAGCACTACCCAAACAGACCTGTTAGCGTAAGCCTGGTGGCCAGCAGTTGTTTTGTTATTGTCCAGGTCAGAAATACCTGCATACTGACAGATGGGCCACTTGCTTTGTCTGTGTGTAGCTGAATGCATAACAATTTGTTGGATACATCAACTTCCCTTCCCTTCACCATCTTTTTGAGGATGTGCAGGATATGCATTGCCACGTTTGGAAAGAGATGCACATTAACACTGTACCAGTATCATTTTTCCCCCCCAGATTATGAACAAAATAGTTAATCCAGTCTGAAAACACAAGGTGCAAACATCAAATAAAAGTGGAAGAGGAAGCATTAGAAGAGTTACAACCATATTGTAATCACATAAAAGGAAAAAAACAACTAAAAAGACAAACCCTACAACACAAATATGTAGACTTAAATACTTCTATTTGACTGCAGCAACCATAAATATCCTTACTTTGTGGTTTTGCAGAGAACTGTAGAATAATTAACCAAAGAACTCTGATTAAAAAAAGCTGGTGAAATGAAAGTCTGTTGATCTCATTGTACCTAAGCTTTGTTACAGACCACTTTATTAGACAAGAACACATACTTTTCTCCAAGACACTTTCTATTCAAAACAGTAGATACTACACTCTAAATGAGTAGCCACTTTATATTTAGGTTTTCCTCATTGTTCAATGTTTAGTTATGTAACTCCTTTAATAAACACAACACCAACTATGCCTTGACTAGAAAAGTCTGAGGGACTTATTAATTTCATTTGTTATTGTTACAGTGTTCACCACTTCAGCTGTATAACATTGACTTCAACCTATACCGTGGGGTAAAAAAAAAAAAAAAGGGAAGAAAAAAAAATTAAGGATACGAGCACACAAAATTATTTCCTCAGTCAGTTGTGTGTGCAACCTCACTTCTCACAGTGCCCTGGGTCCGATTTACTGTACCAACATGTTAAAAACACATAAAAGCAGAATATTTTCACCCACTCTACTGGGATGTTCCATGCTGAATTTGGTCATCATGGGGAGCTCAAAGAACTAAAGATACATATAGTTAGGGAGCATTCCCTACAGATTTAAGTTACTAGGACACCATGACACACTTAGCATGTACAAAACTTATAAACTCATAAAACTCAGTGTGACAGAGTGAGAGTTGACTTCTTCCAGAAATTACATAACTTGTAGCTATAACTTACACATCTTTGGTGTTTAGAGATTTAAATATCAAAGGTGGTTATGTTGCAACATATATGACAATGCCTCCTACATATCTAGCTTAGGTAAATTATGTATTTGCTGGCTATATTTATGGATAAAACTGATAGATTATTCTGTCAAGTCACAATAGTTTGAAGCAAAGATGCCTCATGGAAAACTCCTAACAGAAAAGTTATAACCAATGTTATAAGCCACAGCAAAAAGTCTACAAGTGAGCTGTGCTAAGAAACAACTAATTGAAGTTGGTACCATCAACTGTCATTTTAACTCAGTTATCACTGTTTCCTCATCATCACCCAAAGTCTTCAAAAACCTATTTTAAAGAAGAGTATTCTTCAATCAACACAGTACAACTGCAGCACCTTTATCCTGCCTTAAACTAATCCAGTAAAGTAGTAAAAACAAGTCTGTCGCATGGGCACAAATGATAACTTCTTTGCCCTAGGGATCCTGTGAATTTCCCCAAATTAAATATTCAATTGCAAATTCTCTCTTTGCATCTACTAAGCCATCAGCAGCCTGTTTTGCCTCAGCACAGCTGTAGCTGTGGCCAGGAAACTGCAACATTTGGTAGTTATTACAGTGTTTATACATTGAAGGGTTAATGGCAGCAACGCTGCACTGGCACATAAGTACAGGTGAATATATTGTAGATGTTACACTTCATATTTTTACAAGCAAAAAAGTACCTTTAGAATAAAAATTATGAGGAACTCAGGCCAATCCAAAAGCTACGATAATTACTTAACACCAAAATTCACGACCACAGTGCCATATCTCTGTGACATTGTCATGGGCAAAATAATCTCAGCTGGGGTAATCTCACTTAATTGGTTTTACTGACAATTAACACAAATGTTTAATTACTGATTCAGGCATTGGGGAGCAAGGACAACAATTAAACACTTAGGGGAAGTTCCTTCCTCCCCCAAGCTCAGCTGCAGGTCAACAGCTCTCCTCCCCCTCCCTCACTTCCCCTCCCTCTGTGCTGCAGTGAGACAATAGGTAATGCAGAAGGTTTCCTTCCACTTTCTGTGCTACAGCATCTGTTTTCCATGAGCTACAGCCCCTCAGGGTGCTCCTACTCCTGTATTTCCCACAGGCCCCAGGCCCCTCAGGGGTGTCCCTGCTCTGGCACAGGTCA